GTATGTATGTATGTATGTATGTATGTATGATGGACGGCTTTAGTAGCATAAAAAGGTAGTATTAGTCACCAAAAAAGATTTAAATGCAATTACAAAAAAAAAAGATTCTAGGATTTGATATTATTTTTTCCCCCTTTAATTAAACTTAATTTCTTTGTCTTAGACAATTCCATATCGAGCATTAAAATGTGTTTATTGCTCTACATGTTTAAACTGTACGAAATATATTGCGTAAAAATAAAGAAAAGAACGCATGACATCTTAATCCATCTGTTGTTGTTGTTGTTTTGAGTGGTTTGGGTATCATAAAATAATTACATTGTCATGATGTATCTTTCTGTTATAAGTTGAAGTCCAGTGACACCTGTAGGACCCTTTGAGACAAAGTATCTTTTAAATAATTCATCTGTAATTTGAAAATGCTCATCTTCTTTTACACATCTTTAATGTGGATGAGCCGATCATTTTCAGCAACTGTAGAATAATGCGAGCTTTAATTGTGCAGCATTACTATTATTACTGATGTTATTTATACGTGTTCAGTTTTTTAATGGCTATAAGTAAATTTTAGGGGCTATTTGATTAAATGTCATAAGAATTCCTAAATCATATTCATATCCAAGCTGACTCATAAGTTCATAACTCTTTAAGCGTTTTCATAAAAATGTAGGTGGCACCAGATATACAAAGTAAAGAAAACAAATTAGTGGTGTAGAAAATTAAAAATAATTATGAACAGGTGGTTTCACATTGAAATGACACAAACAAACGTTAAAAGACACCGGCTTACTCTGCGAGAATACATTCCTCTTCTGAATGCATTACCCCTAATTTTGGAAAGATGGTGCCAATTACGCACGTAATTGACCGAGGCACTCTTTATGTAAAATAACCTTTTTAAGAGCGGAACACTCTGATGATGGCTCAACAGCCACCTGCTGTTGCCTAAAGAGGATGTGGATGGAATCCAGGTTTAAGCTTTAATTATATATCATTTTAAATATTCAAATAATCGTGTAGAAACACAAGATATATAAAAAAACAAAAAAACAAAAAAAACAATAAGGGATATTTTCAGTTTATTTCACAATATGATCCAGCAATACAATATCAAAACGTCGTTTTTGTTATTATTATTATTTTTTTGGTTTGGTTTTTTGTTTGTTTTTGTTTTCTTTTTTGCTGTACAAACGAGAAGCTTGTAAGGAAATTTCTTCTCCTGCGCCTCTTTAAATATATACATTTACATTTTTTTTACATCAGTGAAATCTTTTACAGCATTTTTTTAAATCCCCCGTTTAAAAAACAAAAACAAACTTTCTTTTCGAGAATTGTGCTTAAGATATCTGTCTGTATGGAGGGAGTGTTTGAAAGGCTCCTTAAAAACAGAAAGCTACGTGGGTATTTTTACAGCTAGAGTGTCTTGATTGTCCCCCGTCAAACGCTTAACAAAAAGAAGAAAAACATATAAAACACTTACTTCACATTTAGTGAATTCATTCTGTAGCTGTGGAAAAAGGAAATAAAAAAAAATCAAATTGGTGATAAGTTGGTCGCCACTTTTATGTAAACAAGTTTTTGTCTTTCTTTTTTTGCATCGCACAGAACTGGTATTTCCAGCAACAATCACGGTTTAAAACAAGAAAAAGAAAATACACTATTTAAGCAGTGGACAGACTCCTGAGATGTAAATAATATTAATAATAATAACAACAGTAATAATAATAAACAACCTTATGGGAAATGACACAATTACCCCAAGTCAGGCTTTGCCTGACAGTGAAAGTCTCTTCAGAGTTTTTCTCTTTGTTTTTCAGTGTCAGACTTGTAGAAAAATATTGTCTTTTTTATTGTTAGGATAAGATCATTCATCAAAACTCTGCGACGCCTTTCAAACCGGTCTGAGCAGCGGCACAGATGTGACGATGGGATGGGAATAATAGACCCCCGGATGAGGGAATGTGAGCAGCGGCTGGCTAACGGGCACGCTCGCCGCTGCGCCCCCCGCGCCCTCTGAAGCAGAGTTTTCATGGTAAAGAATTGGCACCCTGACTATCCTCTGCGCCGCAGCGTGGCTGAGGTTAGCGGCCTCCAGTTCGGCGGCCAGCTGTCTCTTCCACTTGTTCCTTCGGTTCTGAAACCAGATCTTTACTTGGGTTTCAGTCAGGTGCAAGGAGGCGGCCAGACCCGCGCGCTCCGAGCTGCTCAGGTAGCGCTTCATGTCGAAGGTGGACTCCAGCTGAAACACCTGGCTTCGGGAGAACACCGTGCGCGTCTTCTTCTTGCGACAGGGCTTCTTGTCCTCGTCGCGCTTCTTCCACTCCTCGAGTTCGTCCTTCTTGGCCTCCTCCGTGTCGCTTTCCTCCAGAATGATCTCGTCGCTGCTTTTGTTGTTGCTGTGCTCATCTTCCTCCTCATCTTCGTCGTCTTTGGTGTCCGGTTCGGATTTGAGCACCAGGTCCGGGGAGTCTCTGTCCGTGCCAGAGGTTGGAGAAGAATCTCTTGCTCCTGATTTCTCGATACCTGGAAATAGAGACGTGGAGATAAAGACATTGCTGTTTATGCGTTCATTTAACACCGCCTGTTGACATTCAGAGGAGTTTTTGGAAAATACAGTACAAAGAAAAATATAATAGCATGTATAAAAAGTTGTTTTTTTTTTTCAATTCAAATGAACGTGTTTCGATTAATTAATACTGAAAAGATTTAATCTGATTGGTTTTACTAATAAGTACTTTCTCCTTCCCGCGCGTTATAACCCCACATACATAAATCATAAAAAAACAGGGATGTACAAAAAGGCTGTCATCGAGGAAGCCTCCAGGGGTAAGATGTGCACCATGAGCAAGCTGCGCTTCGTCACCCTTATCCAATGGTTTCATCATGTCTGCTTCATTTTATGCTCAGCGTGTTGCTTTATTCATATATTAACCCACGCTGTGGCATGACAAAGTAGGCCTTCATAGAGTCCAATGTGCTACATGCCAACATCTCTCAGAGCGCATCAATTAAAACATTTAGAGAAATCTATTTTAAAGAGGGGTGTTTTAAAGATTATTAAATGTTTGTTTATTCAGCTTATCGTAAAATATAAAATCAGACTTAATATTTTTCTTACTGCTCTTCTTACCTTCAGTTCTGTGCAGATGAGCCGCTGAGCTGAGAGTATAGGGGTACCACCAAGCCGAGGTGCGCTCCAGGTAGTGCGCCGGCAGAGTGAATCTCTGCGCAGGCACCTCAAAGCGGGGAAAGTTGAATTCCCCGACCTGGGAAAGGGAAAATCCTCCTTCTATGGCCGCCTTAGCAGAGACAACAAGCGGTGGTTTGGGTTTAGAAGGCTTGGTGTCACAGTTCAGTAGGTTCTTAATGAAGAAAGGGGAATCCTTGGCCGGAGCGCACGTCTCTTGCGTAGTCTCTGGCATCGCTGCAGCTTTGATCTGAACGTGGATGTCCAGGAAATTTTAGTAGAAGCAGAGGAGGGGAGTGGAGGGGAAGGAAAAAAATACTGACTTACAAACACTGGATATCCCTGGTGCTTGAAGTTCCTGTTTTTCTAACTCGACTTTACCCCGTAGAGCTTCGTCAAAACACACTTACAACTCGGCGGCTGAAATAATGAAATAAAGCGCTGATGCGTGTCTCAAAAAGACAATCAGGGGCATGTCTCATCCCGGAGTGTTTCCGTCAGAATCGGGGGGGGAAAAAAACCTCTTTGCGTCCCAGCGTGTCAGTCAGTCTGGTGTCTGATGCTAATGATGAAATAAAAATGTCATCCAAGTTAAATGCGGAAAGTATAGGCGATTGGGCATGTACAATGGCAAATGGGATTAAGGGAGAGACTGTGAGGGGAGGGAGGAAAAAAAGGAGGGAGAGACCGTCCTCCCCTCCTCTTCCTACTTCGTGCGCCCTGTGGCTGCAGGCTGTGCGCGCTCTCCTGTTATTGGTCTCATACAGTCCAATTAGCGGCAAATGGACAGCTCCAAAAAGGAGGATTTGGATCCGTCTCACAAGATTCAACATACATCGCATCAATAAAAAACCTTTAATTTCTTTTAATATAAAGGCTTATGTGCTCTAATTTATTTAAATAGTTGGCTCTACTTTTATATACTTGATATGATTAATTCCCTGCAATTTAAAGAGTAAACAATATAGGTATGATTATTTTAAATAATCCACAAAATTGTTTTTAAAATTCTTTGTACTTAGGCATATTTTTGAAACAAACGTTATTATTTTGATAATTGCTTCACTAAAACATATTCTATTAAACAAAAATATATTTATAAAAGCATATCTCATCATGAGTGGGTGTTAGGTTTCATGTCAACAACCATCTTAGAGCTACCAACAGGCTTGTCTTGTATAATTTCACTTAATGGATAATGACTGTCTAATACTGAATAAATAACAATTGAATAAAAAAAAATTAAACTTATTTTTTTTTTATAATTATTATTTTTTTCACTTTAGATTATCCAAACTAAATGACATGCTTGTATTCTGTTAACACTTTTAGCGTTAATTTATTGTCAATTCATTCTGCTTTTATAATGTAAAAAAAAAAAAAGGTCTGCAGCTCCACAGTGCGTCACCAATGGGCGATTAGATTCATATTTCTAATTTATTGATTTGCAGCGAGGGCCACTTCCACAATGTCTGGGGGTCGCGCAGTCATTTATTCTTTTAATTCCTAATCGATTTTGTTAATTCATCCCTCAGATTGCACTCTTTGTAAAATGCGCCATGTATATTCACTCATTGATATTAATTGACTTGTTAAACAGCAGCAGCCGAGCTGGTTTGGAGCCACTGGAGCTGGTGTTGAGGAGGAAAAGCGGAGGGACAGCGCCCTCTGTAGAGAGCAGGGAGCTGGTGCCTTTTTCGACCACGTCATGAGGGCAACTCTTTTTCACGGTGCAACATTGTGGGAAATCTCACTGAAGGCCCCCATCAGACAAAAACTTAAACATGAGCAGAAAAAAAGTGAATCAAAAATTGAACATGAGCATTATGCAAGTAGTACAATTTTAAGATAAAAAAACAGTAAACAAATTTATATATAGGAAAAAATTTACACATTTGGAACTCCATTTATTTATCTTTGACAATTTCCTTTAACCAACCAATATGTCTAAAAGAGGGATTTTCTGTGATTCGATTATCTTCCTTCATTGATAAATTATATAAATTAAAACGTGTGATGTCAAATGAACGTGTTCTATATCATATTGAACTGCCCGAATTGAGGCACCTTTGCAGCAATTGCAATTGTTTGCAGCCAATGTGGTTTAATGCAGCCATGTTACGTTGGGATGCAAACAAGAACATTTCTACTGGAAACCAATTAAAAATGTCACACTACTACAATAAGATTTGGCATACACTATTATTTTTGCATTATTATTTACCAATCACATGTTATTTATTGTTATATAAGTAGATGAAAAAGTTCACGTCGAGACATTTTCCCTAAGGTTAAGGTGCAAAGCTAATGACTTAATGCAATTTTTTGGGCGTCCTTAGATAAAAAGCTTTATACCAGTTGGCTTAATAAAAAAAAAAATAGCTGCAATGTATTACAACTATGATTTTTTTAATGAATGAATGTGACTGAATTAGTATATTTCTATATGACTTGGACATGTGTGATTTTCTTGATATGAATTAAATCCCTTTTCTTGTAAAGTTCATGTACAGTATATTGATTTTTATATGGATTGATGGTATAGCCAAATTAGTAAATATCTTTCCTAATCATTTATTTATGTTTGCTTTCTCTATCTGGTCGAGAAAAAATGCCAGCTTTAGCAGATTAAAAAAGTCACAACAAAACTTATGGGTTGAAGATAATCTAATGTGGCTTATGCTGCTAAAGCAGGCCTTTCTCTTATTTTTTTAAGGTTTAATTAAATACAACAAATTGAGTAATGGATTAGACTTAAAATTTTCAACTCAAGAATTTCAATTGTCAACAATTAAAGCTATCAGAAAAAGGCATCACCGATAACGTAAATAACTAAACCCGAAATATTTTTGCCTATTAGGGATTTTAATTTTATTTCTGCATTATTATCCATACTGCATAATCCAGAATATAAATTAAAAATACATGTAAAATATTTAAACCCGATATAAAGGATTTTCTAGACCAATACTTGATAGCAAGTGTATAAAGGGATGCATAAACTATTAAGAACATACAATTAAAAACTGTTCTGTTACTAGTAATTTAACTTTACTGTATCTTGAGTTTTTCAGAGATTTTGTGAGGGTACAATCATATTGAAAGAGGGCTATTCTTGTACTATGTCTTTACAAGTTTCTTCACCAGTAACTACAACTGGTTTTATACAAAAGCATTGTGATTAAGCTAAAACACCCTGTTGGCTTATCCTAATTATCTTATTGCTGGGTTTATATTATTTGGTCCATCAGTTATTATACTTCTGTGTTTTCTGGAAAAAAAAAAAAAAAAAACATGACTGGACTGCAATGAGTTAACAAGGAAGTTATGGAGTCATAAAAATCTAAATTTTGCTAGTGGAGATGTGAAAATGAGGAGTACAAGTCTAAGTATATAAAAGCATAAAATATATTGGAAGTAGTGCCTGGAATACACCTTGCAGTTCATCAACCTAGGAAGCCAGATTAATAATGTGTCACACTTAGGTTTAGTTCTACATGTTACAAATCTGAAATTGCTCCCATTGAATTATTTCAGGTGAAATGGTCAATTCAACAGAAGTTTTCAAGCTGATTTGGTGATGCGGCATCATAATGCCTGCCTTAAGTTTTTAATCATGTTGCTGTTCCACTTTCACAGATGAAATTTGAGTTTCACAAAACAGGTGTGATGTCAGCAGTTATGCATTTGTCCTCCTGCACTGTTTTGTTTGTTTTGGTTTGGTTTAAGCTCAGGCTATTTTGCTTTCATCATAGCTGTATGTCCCGCCTTAAACCTAAATATGCGTTCACACCTAATCCAAAACATACAAAAATTTAGCCAATTTCATCTGCTTATGCTCACCTTGAAATTCGCCTGGCCAGTGAAAGTATTTCACAAGGCTGGTGAACTTACCCACTAGGCCAGGGGCTCCTACTTCATTGAGTCTGCTGGTTGTTGGTTTTACCTCATCATGGCGGATATGGATTTACAGTAAATGGCAGTGCTTTTTACTTTAGAAAGACAAAAAAGAATTGTAGGCATTCCTAGGTTCATCAGTTTCCCAGAGACAGAACCAGTATGGGGAATACCACCACTACCTACAGAGGCTACGTCTGGATAAGGGTTGCTTTCAATAATAATTTCCCCCGAAATGTTACCCAGATTAGGCCCTTGCTTTCCTGCATTGGGGGGAAAAAATCACCCGGACAATCGAGTGTTAAGTGAGATGGCATTCTGGAGCCTTGGCAGGGCCATCAAGAAATCAGTTGGAGAACATCGGCACAGAGAAAGACATAACTGTTGTGTCACAGTCGACTCAGGCCATGCAACCACAAGGTCCCACAGCAGCAGATCCGAGGAGCGATCTGGGGAATCAGCGCACTAAAGCGTTGAGAAAAGGCACAGAAGCCCATTGGGGAAACAGCACCAGCGCGGAAAGGCTACAGCTAGTTGGGGCTAACTATAGATGGTAACTGTGGAGGAACAGAAGTGCACAGCGGTAGATCAGATAAGTACACTAGGAAGACAGAACACCGAAGGTGGGGTAGAGACTACAGCTATATGAGAGTAGGACAGTCAGTGGTACATCAGATAAGCCAGCCAAGGAGGCAGAGCTAGAGGAGGCTACAACTCCTCGGAGCTAGCCTCTACAGGCTAACTACGGAAAATGAATGGAGTACCACGGAGGGTCAATGAGGCTTTCCTAGGCAGACAGTGGTGAGCTGGGGTGAGAAGGCATCCTTGTGTTCAGATTTTTCAGATTCTGAAAAATCTGCTTTGCTTAATTCACAGGCGAAGCAGCGATCACATTTTGCCAAATTAGCCAAAATTACGCTGTTCGCCCCCCTAAATTCTCCACCTTTGCCTTGCGAAGTATCGCTCTGCTTTGCTCTGCTTTTCTCCGCTCCAGATCTGTGCTCTACATAGAGATAACATGGGAATCCTTCACTCCAGCTGTGAAACACGCGGTTGGTGCAAAAATACCTTAATACTGCTTTGGATTCTTCAAAGATAATTTCAAATTGAGCGGGATAAGATGTATTATTCTGTGTTTGTGAACTCATAAATAGCAAGATAATTTTACTTGCAAGAAAGGTTAGTAGTTCTTTTTAGCGGGAGCTAAAATGTAAGAAACCGGTAAGTTGATGGATACAGGAGTCGGTACTGCCAGCTGATGACGGCTGTGTACAACAACATTTATGTCTGCTGATTGTGGCATGCAAAAATTCTTTTTAGACTCAAAAGGACTAAGTAAACATGACCAGGACAAATATATTGTTTTATTTTAACATTAACATTACTTTTTGGTGTCTTTTATGGGCATAGTATATTAGAATTTGTATGACTCTACGCATGCAAACTGTGTAGAATCATGCACCACAGCCTTCTTTTCTACTCTTCTTGGACACTATGTTGCTCAAACCATACTTGAAACTGTTTCATGGAAAGGCAGGCTAGAAATGAAATTTCTTCAATCAAATGAAGTACAGTTCTTATTATGCAGTGATCACGAACATGTAGTAGCCTTTCCACAGGCAACATTTAGAGCCTCTGAATGTTCCATAAGTCTATTTTTGTTGCTCCTCGGGTAGGTTACTATGGCCTTTATATTATTTATTTCAAAGCGCTCAGATATTGATTATTTCACAAGGAAAAATGACAAATGGCAGCAGGGAATGACACGGTCAGCAGGTTCTATTAGAGAAATGA